GGTTTCTGGTTCCTCGTGTTTTATTCTCCGGGTTTCTGGTTCCTCGTGTTTTATTCTCCGGGTTTCTGGTTCCTCGTGTTTTATTCTCCAGGTTTCTGGTTTCTCGTGTTTTATTCTCCGGGTTTCTGGTTCACTTGTGTTCTCCTCACTCTCCTCTTTAACAAACACCATCTTCACAGCAGCAGATCTAATTTCAGAATCAGAATCAGAAGAGCTTTATTACCAAGTATGTTTACACACACAAGGAATTTGACTTGACGACAGGAGCTTCCAGTGTAGAAGAAAGTACAAACATAGTGCAGACATACATGATAGTGCAGACATACATAGGAATAACACAGTAGGGATGTAATATAACACTAATATAATAAAAAAAAAAAAATTAGAAAAATGTTGTAATGTACTATATACAGAATAGAAGTATAGGAAAAAATGAATTGTTTAGATAAATGTACAGATATGTTTATTAGTGTGCAGATATGTCATTTACAAAGTGTGCAGTTTAATATAAATGAATGACCACAGATGTGAGAGCGACAGGTCTGTAGTCGTTAAGTCCAGTGATTTTGGGCTTTTTGGGGACCGGAATAATGGTGGAGCGTTTGAAGCAGCAGGGAACTTCACACAGCTCCAATGATCTGTTGAAGATCTGTGTGAAGATGGGGGCCAGTTGGTCAGCACAGACTTTTAAACAGGCAGGTGAAACACCATCTGGGCCTGAAGCTTTTCTAGATTTCTGCTTCCTGAAGACCCGGTTCACATCCTCTAACAATATACAAATAACTAAAAAAAAAAGCCTGTTAGGCTCATTCAATGCTCTGTTTGTGTGTGTGAGTGTGAGTATGAGTGTTTGCCACATTAAGAATGTTGTATAGGCTCACCCCTTCATTTATGTGTATGTATGATCTGCATCTTGTTGGATTTATAGATTTTTATTGGACAGATTCTTTGAATTAGTATTTCCCATTCATTTCCTATGGGTGCCCGCTTTTGTCCACGAAGGACAAATTAAGTTTTTTTGATGATGTAAACTATATACAGGCAAGCAGATGAGCTCAGAATATGAACGCAAGTGCATAATGCAATGCATTATTTTTTTAGTTAGTGCAATTCAAATTTTTTTTGTTTCAAAGACATTTGTCATTATTTTTCTTCCATATTCAACCACTTAAATCAGCTCTATGTAACTTTTTCTGTGTTCAAAATTTGCAAAATGTATATAATGAGCGAGTACATCATGAATTCATCTTCCAAACCGTGTTTTTGTCTTATTCCGAATCACTACGGTACACTTATAATAAGTACTTATATTTGGACTATTGTAGCCTGGTCGGGTCGTCACCGCTGCGGAGTAACACATACCTGCGTGAATCGCCATAGACATAAACTTAGAGAAGTAGCTCCAGTTGGAATGTTCTTCCGCGGGATGTGTGCTGTTTATTAAAGGTGGGGTAAGCGATTTCTGGTAGCCAATGTTGACATTTGAAATCACCAAAACAAACACGCCCCTACCCCAAAAGGGTCTCGCCCCTATGTTGATAGCTCCGCCCCAAACATTTGTACGCAACCCAGGCAACGATTAGTTCTGTGAAACAAAGCAAAACCAATGTTACACCGTGTCTACAGCGGACGCGAGTGGCGTGACAGAATACTATAGAACTAATAATCAGTGATGCTGTCTACACCATAGATATATATACATATCTATGGTCTACACTGGATGCGGCGCGGCACGACACGACAAATCCCCGACAGAAAACTGCTGCTGCGTTCTATTCATGACGTATTGACACAAATTTCAAATGATTTTCAACGGTCGCTTTGTCGCTCGCGTCCAGTGTACTAGACAGACTTTAGCTGTTGCGGCGCAGACACTGTGTTACTCACCTATCGAGAAGAAACAAAGCAACCTTGGCGTCCGATCGCAGGCCTTCCGCTCTTTTGAGTTTTCTCCAGCGCTTGAAAGCTGATCCGATATTTACATTTTATTTTTATTTATTTATGCATTTAGCAGACCCTTTTATCCAAAGCGACTTACAGTACATTCAGGCTATAATTTTTTTTTTGAACGTCTGGTCCTACTTCTTGCCTTAAGCCGTCGTTTGTTCCGCAGACGTTTTCCTCAATCTCTATCTAGCTTTCTGTCGCTCAGCTCAGACTGAACGCTCCGTATCATGAGTAGACACGCCCCTTACTGCTGATTGGCTACAAGTTTGTTTTGCTATTCGGCCCGAATCAGTTTTCTAAAGTGTTTTGGAAAAAATCGCTTACCCCACCTTTAATCGCTAGAGCGCCAAAAGTTACATAGTGCTGCTTTAACTTTGTTGAATCTAGTTGAATTTTATTGTGTGTGTTCAGGTGGCAAATTTTGGAAAACCTGAAAAAGGGCTTTACATTAAAAAAAAAAAGTTTTCTGAAATCAGATTAGATCATGTAATTCAGTCTTGGTTTTGAACTGGATCAAACTTTCAGTATATGTTGTTCAAAAACTGAACTGATCAGGATCTCCTTTGATCAACAACAAAAAAAACCTGGATTATCCTGATCTCAGGAGAAGTGTGGATTTCAGGAACAAAAAGTAATAAAACTTTAAAATGTGTACAATAATGCAACATTTGTATCATTACGTTTATTGACTATTCTACCTGCATTCTTTACATAGCTACATTGTGACGTAGTCCCATTTAGAGCACTAGTAATCTGGATTTGGTAATCTGAAAAAGTCTGTATCTGGATTAGGGTGATCTATCCAATGTTGCTTTGAAAAAAACAGCACAGAAGTAAAATAGATTACTTGACCCAGGATTGCAAAACATGGGATTCCAGGGTCCAGCTGCATTAACACAGCCACTGTTAAAACTGTCTTCAGAGCTAGTTTGACTAGCTAGCAGTTAGCCAAGGGGTAATCAGTCATACTTTTTGGATTCAAATTACACCAATCTACCTTTTTTTAACACACTTAAAAAGTTATGACCAGTCTTGAAAAAACTATTCAAGACTCGTCTAAGCAGTTTATGTAAGCGGCCAGATTAATTTTTTGAACTGGGCGGTTGATGAGCTTCTGTGGCTTCATTTGGAACCGTTTTTATTAGAGGAGCAAAAACAGATGTTAATATTTTCTGTAAAAAGTTACCCAATTGAATATGTTGCTCAAGTCATGCAGGCTTAGTTTGGATTGTCAGACATATTCAAGCACAAAGTAGAGTTCTTTAGATAAACGTAAATGCCATGAGCACATTAAGGCTCCGTCTTCTCTTGTCATTGAAAATAAGTTTGTAAAAGTAATACAGTTGTGTTAAGAACACAAGAAGAATTAAGAACAGTGAACAAAGCTACATTCTTCCTTTATTATATTGGGTGTTCAGTCAGGTGGAATTCATTCAATTTGTACAAGACCATTAAATACATTTCCAACAGAGAGGAGAAAATGATCAAACAAGACTTAGTGATAAATTCTTAAGTGCTTTATGTTGCACCATGTAACATTACTACATATTTTTGTGAAAAAAGACAACAAATCAGCACATTGAACACTTTAAAAACAATTGAATTTTATAATGGATGAAGCTACGCAGCAGTTTTCTGGCTCCTCTCAATGGCCATTTTCTCCAATCTCTCCGTGTAGAAGCCATTGAAGTCCAGCCTATAAAAAGACATCTCATTATTCATAGCACCTCTGTTGAGAAGACTGAATTTTAAAGAGGGTTGTAAAAGCTCTTCAAAAGTAAGAGATTTTAAAACTTGCGCTACACATTTCTATTGTCACTGCTTGGGACAGGTTAAATTGCTAAGCACTAATATATGCACAGTGGAAATTTGAATGAAAGATTCTTTTCACAACCCACCTGTAGATGATGTTGATCATGCTGTGTTCACAGTCATTGGTGCTGTAAATGCTGAGCTTATCCAAAAGCTCCAACAATAAGGTGCTGAAGTTACTGTCAAACTTGCTGATGGTCGCCTCAAACCCAGAGTCAGACTGGAGGGCATCCACATGCTCAGCTAGGAACTGAGATCAAGACAAATAGACGAAATAAAATATTATTATTATTTATTTTAAATATTTCATTATAAAATGTGTTTGTGTTTTTTCTTATCTTTTGAACAGATTATGGTTTCAGTTATTACACAGCCTGTTTTTAAAGTGCCTCTTTAGTTTCAGTATTGTAAAATAATTGATTCAATGCCAATAGCCCTGTTCACACAGTAATACCAGTAAATTGCCGTAAAATTACTGGAACTAATTTACCGGTAAATACAAAAATTCACTGTTTACACAGGCAACTACTTTCCGTCTTTTTACTGGTAAAGCACCATTCACACATCGGTTTCAAATTACCGGTAAATTCTGTGACATCATTAACCAAGATTTTTTTTTATTTTATTTCATTGACTCACAGATTTCAGGTTGTTCTCCATGATGTGCCATGTGGGCTCCATAACCTCAAACATCATGTAATACTGAATGTTCTGCACAAAGTTGAGCATCCGTTGTCTTAATGCAAACGCAGCAGCAAACCTACAATATACAAGAGCTACTTAATAAGATGCTCACTTGAAGATACACAGTCCAAGGTCAAAATACATAGTCTCACCATTTAGCAGAGTGCAGTGAATATTGCTTAGCTGCTTTATTGCTGATCCACACATTACAGAGCAGCCTCTCCACGTGCTTGCAGTAGAACATGTGCCTGAAGAGCATCTGGTATCTTGTCAGGGCTTTTCTGTACAACAGAGCATCGTGTTAAAGGAGTAGTTCATCGTAAAGATGCGGTCACAATATTTTTCAGTAAAATTTCACACGCAAAAAATATGTCAATGGTGTTGCAATGTAATTGTGCGACAATTACATTGTGCGACATTTCAAACAGCATAGTGTGTAACGTGCAACATTTTTGATGGTAAATGATGACAAAACTATTTCTTTAAGAAGCACAGGGCCATAGTTACAATTACAAGCAGCTTGAAATTAAAGCTATACAGTCATACAGAAAAGCTGAGTACCGGTTGATTATGAGTGAAAGTGGCCACTTGACGATGTAGTCAAAAGAGAAAGCCTCCAGGCCGCTAAGTGACACCTCTGTGGGCTCTGCATTAATGATAGCTTTCTCCTGCTTGGTGTCTATAGCGAGGACACGTAACAGCTGGGTGATAACATCATGGGGCATCAGGTCAATCTGGAAGAGAACAGTAATGTTAAATCATGCATTTTCAGTGACGACCCGTTGCCTATTTTTGAGCAACTGCACATCATTTTCCATTCGTTAAGAAGACTCTTATCCACTTTCCAAATGATACAACTATTTAGATGGGTGACAGTAGCTATTTTCACACATAAAATGTTGAAAATTTCCATTTTCATTTGCTAATTTTCTGCGGTTTGCGATTTGAAATGTTTTTAAATCCAGGTTTGCAGTGCTTGTTTGTTGGGCTGCACAACTTGGCCAATATGTCGAGATTATATTATGATAAAGAAATGACTAAATAAAAAAAGAAATTACAACTGTAATATTTCACTGTAAAATAACACAATCAACTATTTAAGAAAATACTGCAAACACAAGACAGATAATGAGCTGCTCATGTGTAAAAACACAGTGCCGCGCTTCACTCTGAAACCTGCATCTTATATTTATTTACAGTAATTAAATAGCAGCCTTTGTGATTTGCCATAATCGTGATTTCAGCTTTATTTTTGCCCGTCTTTAGGCAAAAGATGAAACTGAACAACAATTTGTTTTTCATTTGGATTTCTACTGCAAAAGCAATTGCTCAACACCTGAAATCTAGACTGTTCTGCAGAATGCACAAACATACTGTACATATTACAAAGTGCTAATGTAAAAGTAACTGTCGAGAAGATGGATGCGCATTTGACCTTTAAATCATCTTTGAAGGGGTCTGTGTTGGCAGTGCTCATCCTCAAGGCCAGCTCCAGCAGGGCCTCCAGCCGTGGAGGAATGATGTCATCAACCGGCTTCTTCAGTTCTTCCTCCGTTAGGTCCATAAAATGCACGAAAAAGTCTCCTTTATCCATTAAGAAGTAATGTTTGATTGACCTGTATCACAAAATGTAGGTGATATTGAGATATTCAGACCCGTTGTTGAATAATACCAAATAATCTGTCAGATCAGGGGTCTCCAGACTCGGTCCTGGAGGGCCAGTGTCCTGCAGAGTTTAGCTCCAACCCTCATCAAACACACCTGAACCAGCTAATCAAGCTCTTACTAGGTATAATAGTAACTTCCAGGCAGGTGTGTTGAGGCAAGTTGGAGCTAAACTCTGCAGGACACTGGCCCTCCAGTACTGAGTTTGGTGACCCCCGTTTTAGAATATACTTTGGGCTTTAGAAACAGATGACACTGTGATGCAGCTACACCCGAAGAACAAAGAATTAAGTTGTGGGGTGTGAGCTTGTGATGAGAAAAAGATTTATCAGTCTTTCAACATTGAATCAATTAAAATGATCTGGTTTTTAATGGCACTGACCCAAAAATGAAAATTCTGTCATCATTTACTCACCCCCTCATGTGTTCCCATCTCAGACTTCTGTTCATCTTCAAAAACTGTATTTTTAATGAAACCTGAGAGGTTTATGTCCCAGGAATTGAAAGTTCATATAACAAAAACTTTGGCAATTCAAAAAGTTCATACAAACATTGAGGGGGGGGATCCATTGAGTGGTTTAATCCAAATAATCTAAAGCAGGGGTTCCCAAACTCAGTCCTGGGGGGCCAGTGTCCTGCAGAGTTTAGATCCAACTTGCCTCAACACACCTGCCACGAAGTTTCTAGTATGTCTAGTAAGAGCTTGATTAGTTGGTTCAGGTGTGTCTGATTGGGGTTGGAGCAAAACTCTGCAGGACACCGGCCCTCCAGGACCGAGTCTGGGCACCCCTGATCTAAAGAGACACGACTGCTAAAACCAAGGAGGTTTGCTTTTGCACGTCAAGCAAGTTGAGCTGACGTTGACCATATTTGATGTGCCCGGTTTATGCGTGTTGATCAATGTTTATGTGAATAAATGCCTAAATTAAAGCAATGGTTCACCCAAAAATTTACATTTACTGAAAATGTAGTCAACCTCAAGCCATCCAAGATGTAGATGAGTTTTAAATTTTGCATTTCATCCACTGCAGTGACTGGATGCTGTCAGAATAAGAGTCCAAACAGCTGATAAAAACATCACAATAATCCACATGACTCCAGTCAATCAATTAATTAATTAATGTCTTGTGAAGTGAAAAGCTGCATGTTTGCAAGAAACAAATCCACCATTTACTTGGATGATGGATTTAAGCGTTGATGATGGAATAAGCGTTTTAACTTTAAATACTGACTTCTGGCCAAAATCCACCGACATATTTATTTAGATATTTATTGTATTTGATTGTTTCGATTGATTTATTTAGACATTTTAACTGCTTTGGATCATTTTCAACAGTGCTTGATCTGTGCGTATTTCTCTCCTGTTTCAGACGAGATGACTTTTACATTGAAGAAATCAATATTATGAATAGTAAACGTTATTTAGCTGGTAGCAAGTTTGAAGTTAGAAACATGTTACAAACATCTAATCGACACTACTAAAACAAACTACACTGGGTGAACTATACCTTTAAATCTGTTCATCATATAAGGCAATCATGTCTCTTCAGAAGATTTGAATGAACTCATTCAATTCATATGGACTATGTTTACTATGTCTTTACAATCCTTTTAAATTGTCAACGTTTGGTTACATGGACTTTAAATGTTTTGAACATAAATTAAAAGTCTTGCATTTGGAATGACATGAGGGCGAGTAAGTGATGTCAGAAGTTAAAATACACACCCAACGGTCTGTTGTAGTACTAACAAAACAATCATGATCCTAACCTTTATCTCCATGTGGAAATCTCATTTGGCCAGACAGTGATTCATCCTTTCGGATTCATTAAAATATTGGTGCCTGGAACACTGAGAGCTGTCAAAAGCTTAGCTTAAAGATTTGCAACAAATGAAGGGTGCTCATAAACGGCACCATTGGCTCAGATTACTCACTCACATACCTAAAAGCAGATTATTATGTCCAATTCTCAGTGAGCTAAGAACGGTTACCATGTCATGTGTACTTATTGAAAGCAACATAAAATATGTTACTAGGTCCATTTATTTTTCAAAATCTTTTCGTAAATTTAAGCTGACATTTGATTTCCTGTTCAATAGAATCTAAATACATTTAAACACTGACACATACATTTTCTGTAAAGTGACATTGAAGCAATGTGTATTGTTAAAAGTGCTTGACTTGATTTGACACGACCCTAGGAAACACTGCCAGAATAATACAATTTCAAACCTTCAAGTTTTACCTCAGGCGTGAAACAAGCTCCTTTTCCTCCATCAAGAAGTCAAGCAGAACCTTACTGGCGTAGTAATATGCTTTTTCGATCTGCTCCACATACGCTCTCTCTTTAAGCGTGTAGAGAACCTCTTTGGCATCTGGACAGGTTACATCACGGCCGCACTCTCGCACAACATTCAGATACTTGCCTGAAATAAGAAGTTAGGACTGGTTATGAAAATAAAGCATTTAGCCACTCTATTCTTTCCAGCTGGGCATTATAATTATTAGAAATTGTATAAATTTGAACATGTCTACCATTTAACCCCAGCTTTCTAGTAGCATCTTATGTATCTTATGCTATATACTCTCTACATAAGCAGCTGCCTCCTATTGATGGCTAAAATGCTGTCTAAATACAAAAACGCTGTCTGGAACTGAGCTAAAGTTTCATAAATGAAAATGCCTCACCTGTGTTTAATATCTTATCTGCCATTTTCTGAAGGAATGATGGGATCCTGTGCTGGACGATAGTGTATCTCTGATCCCAGTATTTGTCATTATAATCTTCCTGAATCTTTTCTTTTTGCAGCTCATGCTCCTCAACCATGAATTCACTATTTTAAAAAAAACAGTACTTGAAGTTTTATTATATATATGAAATTGTATTATATATATATGAACTATAAATGTATGAATATATATCATATACACATAATATAAATTAAATACAAATTTCAAAAAGTGGCACTTCATACATAGCTTATCAATGTCCTCTAATGTGTCTGGAAATACTCAATATGTTATGCATATAACATGTTTAAGGGCAATTCATACTGAAAAGCTATTATTATTAACAGTAAAAAAATCACATAAAAAAAAAATCTAATTTAAAAAGCATCCACAAGAGGCTACCAAACACATTCTACCTGTATGGGTCTTTAATGATGCCCCTATAGATCCACTTCTCAAGTATTTCAAAGTAGGGGACGCTGGCTGCTTTGGTCAGATAGAGGCAGAGCTCTTGAGCCTGGCTGTCTCCGGTGTAATTGAAGGTACGATCATGAAGCAGGCTGAGGGTCGAGCCGCCCATACACTCACCCTTGTCAACAGAAGTGGCTACATGAAAGAGACCAGGGAGAAAGCACATTAGCATGAGCATGTCAACAATGTCGGCGCTACGTACGGGCGAAGGGAACCCACCCCCCGAAACACGATTACTACCAAGGCCCCCTTTAGAAATACAAATGTTTGCTCTGGTGCTGACTCTGTGTGTACAATAAAACATGATAGCAACATGCCAGCATTGTGTTAACAACATGCTAGAAACATGCTAACACCATGATACATGCTGAATCTACTAACAACATGCTCAGAAATGTTAGACACAAACTAGCAACAATGTTAATATGTTAAAGTATGCTAACAGCATTAAAACATTCTACAACTTGTTAGATACATAAAACATGCCTAAAACATGCTGCCACCATGCTAAAACATGATAGAAACATGTTAGCAATTGGCTAAAAAATGCTTGCAACATGCAAAAACATTTTAGTTTTAGAAACAGGTTAGTAGCATGCTAATTTCTCCTAACAATGTGCAAAAACATGTTAATAATACATGGTATTTGCTAGCATCATGTTAAAACATGCTAGACACATTAGCAACATGCTAACAATGTGGGGAAAAAACATAGTAAAAAATGCTAGCAACATTCTAACACATTTCTAAATCATGCCATCAATGCCTACTACATCTATGTAACCACCAAACTTTAAAACCTTATTTAAACTTTCAGATAAGGCTTTGTCAAGCCAACATCAATATTTGTCCTGACAAACTTCTCTAGTGGACCAGAAGGCTGTTGCAACTAATAAAGTTAAAGAATTAAGAACCAGCTATCAATGAACATGAAATATATACTTTGACTCAAAGTATATTTTTACAGACAAAAACTGTCAAAATTAACTTATTACTCCTGTTGACACTTCCAAAATGCTAAGTGCTGCTCTTATAAGAACCACACGTTTTGACAGCTTTACCGATGGAGGCCAGGATTTCCATGGTACGCATGGTGGGCTGTATGTAGAACCAGAGCTTCTGCAGGGAGAGCGTGCCCTGTCTGTGGAGATGCTCCAGCTGGGTCACCAGGATGAGATATTCCTTCATCAGAGTCCTCATGGCTGCAGTCAAGGCATGATTCACTTGACCGTACTCAAACGACGATTTCTCCTCTGTGAAGCTGGACATGGAATATTCAAATTTATTGCAAGAAATTTATATGAGTCTCAGATAACATGCGAGCAAGCCAGGCAAAATGAAATATCAATGCTTTTCATAAAACTTTTAATAAAAGCCCTCTGACATTAATATTGCAACCAGGGTTCGAAATTAACACTGCTGACCCACCAGATGCAGGTGAAAAATCAACCACGGCAGGTTACACATATCAAATCGTTAGCCAATTTGGTGGGTTATGAGTCATAAATGATGTCCTCCAACCAGGAGCCTCCAAAATTAGCAAAACAAAAACGTCTTTAAAAGTTCAAACACATTGAGTGTACATACACAAGCTAAAAAACAGATGTTCACTTTCAAGTCGTAAAACTGAAAGCCATTCAATGACTCAGAATCAGATTTATTACCAAATACATTTTAAATCTAAGTAATTAATTTCAAACCCTGATAATGTAAACACATGACTAATATAACTATTAAAGGTCAAACTGTTCACTGACCGTGTGATAGTGGAGTAACAAGATGCCACCGGTAATATCCGGTTGACCAGCTCTTTGATGGACATGTCGAGGGAAGGATCTACTATGAAAGAGCGGCTCTGTCTGCCGAGCACAGGCTGAGCTGCGATGTCTCTCCCATCCACGCCAATCAGCACATACAGCAGGTCCTCAACCAGAGCTTGTTCCTGTGCAGCCAGCGGCATTGTACCTGTAATTACACAAGTTTAAGTCACTATTAAATCAAAACTGGCAGCTCAATTTTTTTTTATTAAATTTTACAGTGTTTATTATGAATGATTTATCCATGCACATCTTATTTTTTTAAATTCATCTGTAATCTTCATAATCTTTCATTTTAAAAAAATGTACTTGCCCTCCCTATCATAACAATATCTGTTCTTTGATGACATGTTCACTGGCACAAGGGCAGGACAATAATCTATTCTGTCCAGTGAACCCCCTTGAAAACGCCGCAATTAGCAAAACAACGATTCAATCAATTCCAGAATATTTTTCTCATTCAAGAAACCATTTTACTCAGGTATGTCACACTCACAACTATAATTGTTCAGAATGTGTAGTTTACAAAATACAGTTATTTATATTTTAATATTATATTGTGTTATATTATTTTACAAACACATCTAAATTAACATATATAAAATATTTTCTTGCTGAGATTTGAGGTAGTGACAATTTTGTGTCATAATTACGTAATGAACATCATTTAGCAATTTTTAGCAACAAATTGACCTTCCTTTAGCAACTTCCCCTGAAAATTAGTTGGCAACACTGCCTGTGTGAGAGAGAAGGGGTCGTCGGAGAGATGAGAGCGAGAATGTGCGGCTGACGTTATTGCCTGTGCCGCTGGTAACAAAACGGTCACCGATCTGGGCCGATCATGAGGAAAATCGGCCGATTCCGATCCCTGGCCGATCGATCGGTGCATCTCTAACAGTAACCACATGTGTTGAGAGCTCTACCGATGGAGGCCAGGATTTCCATGGTGCGCATGGTGGGCTGTATGTAGAACCAGAGCTTCTGCAGGGAGAGCGTGCCCTGTCTGTGGAGATGCTCCAGCTGGGTCACCAGGATGAGATATTCCTTCATCAGAGTCCTCATGGCTGCAGTCAAGGCATGATTCACTTGACCGTACTCAAACGACGATTTCTCCTCTGTGAAGCTGGACATGGAATATTCAAATTTATTGCAAGAAATTTATATGAGTCTCAGATAACATGCGAGCAAGCCAGGCAAAATGAAATATCAATGCTTTTCATAAAACTTTTAATAAAAGCCCTCTGACATTAATATTGCAACCAGGGTTCGAAATTAACACTGCTGACCCACCAGATGCAGGTGAAAAATCAACCACGGCAGGTTACACATATCAAATCGTTAGCCAATTTGGTGGGTTATGAGTCATAAATGATGTCCTCCAACCAGGAGCCTCCAAAATTAGCAAAACAAAAACGTCTTTAAAAGTTCAAACACATTGAGTGTACATACACAAGCTAAAAAACAGATGTTCACTTTCAAGTCGTAAAACTGAAAGCCATTCAATGACTCAGAATCAGATTTATTACCAAATACATTTTAAATCTAAGTAATTAATTTCAAACCCTGATAATGTAAACACATGACTAATATAACTATTAAAGGTCAAACTGTTCACTGACCGTGTGATAGTGGAGTAACAAGATGCCACCGGTAATATCCGGTTGACCAGCTCTTTGATGGACATGTCGAGGGAAGGATCTACTATGAAAGAGCGGCTCTGTCTGCCGAGCACAGGCTGAGCTGCGATGTCTCTCCCATCCACGCCAATCAGCACATACAGCAGGTCCTCAACCAGAGCTTGTTCCTGTGCAGCCAGCGGCATTGTACCTGTAATTACACAAGTTTAAGTCACTATTAAATCAAAACTGACAGCTCAATTTTTTTTAATTAAATTTTACAGTGTTTATTATGAATGATTTATCCATGCACATCTTATTTTTTTAAATTCATCTGTAATCTTCATAATCTTTCATTTTAAAAAAATTTACTTGCCCTCCCTATCATAACAATATCTGTTCTTTGATGACATGTTCACTGGCACAAGGGCAGGACAATAATCTATTCTGTCCAGTGAACCCCCTTGAAAACGCCGCAATTAGCAAAACAACGATTCAATCAATTCCAGAATATTTTTCTCATTCAAGAAACCATTTTACTCAGGTATGTCACACTCACAATAGGAAAGAAAAGATGATTGCAACTTTCATTACATGCTGACTTTCAATCACATATATCACCAGATTTGGCATCTATTGCTCCTTCGGTGATATTTAAAGTATAGGTGAAATTAAAAGTGTCCATATTTCTTCATAATCTCTCATCAAATTGATTAACTTGCTCTACCTCTGTAACAATTCCCTATGCATCTAAGGCTCTGATTTTGGAAAGCCCTGCTGCATACATACCAATAGCCACCACGGGATCTCCCACAGGCGTGGGGCTAGTGACGAAATCCCCAATCAGCGCAGGCCGGTCATACACCCAGTTTGGAAACACAGGGTTCGGCTGAGTGGGGTTCTTCTTGTTATGTCGGTCTCTCAGCATTTTACGGATGACCTCAGAAGACTGTGAGAGAAAACAAAATGATCGTAAACTGATGCAATAGACAGAATTCAGGATCGGCTTACTAAATCATGTTCATTAATGAATGCAAAAAATAACAGTGTACACTGGGTTCCAAATTATTATACAAAGGACATATCAGTAAGATTTCAGTTTGCTTATTTTATTTCTCATATGTTTTTAGATAACTGTCAATCTCAGACAGGTTTGTTAAATATTCTGACAGGTCTTCTTAGGTAAATGAAAAACCTACTTAGAGAGGTTGCTCTTGTTTATTAGGCAAGTCACAGTTCTCATGCAATATGGGGAGGAAGAAAGATCTTTCTGAAGATGAAAAGCATTTCTTGCGAAAGGCACTTAAGGATCTAAGGACTCTTTGTTGCAGCCTGTGTGTGTTGCTTCAAAAGTGCAACCATGCATTCGTGTTGTTTTGTTTTACTTACTTTTATATTCATGTATTCTTCATTCATTTATAATAATTTCACTATTCCATTTAATCATATAATGATTAACCACATTTATCTAGTTTTTTTATTGATTAATTTACTGATTATCTGGCATGAAGGCATGATCTACAGCACTGGAAAAAAAAAAATCAGGTTTTTCCACAGAAAATCATACTAATTTCATCATCTCATTTTATAAGACCAAAAAAAAAAGTGTATGCTTGTTTTAGGTTTTGCATGGGTTTTCTCCACCCCTTTCCATAAAGTGAAGTAAATATTGTAATAGCATACAACTCCAGATCCATTTTAAACAGTGGCTTAAGGCAAATCAGACCTGTGATCACTTTTGTGCAAAATGCTTTATCCCTTTGAGTATGGTGTATTTGTGATTTTATGTTGTGATCTGTATTTGTATATTATCACTAGTGAACTTTGTGCTAACTGCCTAGGGACTAGGGCTGTCAAAATGGCTGAAAAACTACATTTGAATTTTGTACTTAAATATGACCACAATTAGAATTATATTCGAATTTAAAATGCATAATTTCAGCTAGAAAGAAGTCAAAATTTTGGCTTCTCTTCAAGAGGGCGCATATCAAGCAAAATATTACTAATGCACGTTTATTCAAAGCATAAGATAACATGATTATCTGTGAAAAAAGTGCATAATGTTTAAATAATGTTTATAAACCAATTATAATTAAGTTGCTTAAACAACTATAAACAAACAGCGTCATGTATGTATGCATAGTTTAATATAAAGGGCCGAAAGCATATCACACAGAGTACATTTTTCATTTAAAAACCTGAGATGCAGTGAAAAAAAAAAGTGTATGCTTGTTTTAGGTTTTGCATGGGTTTTCTCCACCCCTTTCCATAAAGTGAAGTAAATATTGTAATAGCATACAACTCCAGATCCATTTTAAACAGTGGCTTAAGGCAAATCAGACCTGTGATCACTTTTGTGCAAAATGCTTTATCCCTTTGAGTATGGTGTATTTGTGATTTTATGTTGTGATCTGTATTTGTATATTATCACTAGTGAACTTTGTGCTAACTGCCTAGGGACTAGGGCTGTCAAAATGGCTGAAAAACTACATTTGAATTTTGTACTTAAATATGACCACAATTAGAATTATATTCGAATTTAAAATGCATAATTTCAGCTAGAAAGAAGTCAAAATTTTGGCTTCTCTTCAAGAGGGCGCATATCAAGCAAAATATTACTAATGCACGTTTATTCAAAGCATAAGATAACATGATTATCTGTGAAAAAAGTGCATAATGTTTAAATAATGTTTATAAACCAATTATAATTAAGTTGCTTAAACAACTATAAACAAACAGCGTCATGTATGTATGCATAGTTTAATATAAAGGGCCGAAAGCGTATCACACAGAGTACATTTTTCATTTAAAAACATGAGATGCAGTGGGATGGGGGGGAAACCCGCCATGAAGTCTCAATATATGTTTTTTTCAAAGTTAAACTTGCATTAATTTTACATGGCTTTCTAAACACGCGGCTCCTTTGTGCGAGATGCGAGTGCAACGCTGATAGATGTCCCTCTAGAAAATGTGCCAAATGTGTGTTCTGTGTGAACGGCTTGGTTTCAGTTTTGATGAAAACAAGATCTTCTCCGCATTTATGTTCTCTTTTTCCGCAATTTTTTAATTAACAACGCAGCAGCGCCGCATCTAGTGGCCTCAACTGGATAGGCTAAGAAAAACATTGTAATGCAACAACACTTACATCGTCATCGCATCTCGTGCGCCACTGATGATAAGGCTGCCTGACGCACACCTAAAATTTGAATGCAACGTTTTTGCATTCGAATGTGGATTTTTATTTTAAATGTGACTAATATTCGAAATTTTTTTTTTTGACAGCCCTACTAAGGACTATGGATGTAAATTAGCAATGTTGCTATAAATATTAACTTTTTTTTGGTTTTGTTTCATACTGATGTTCATCAATGTGCATTGTCCCTATTAAATAAACAAACAGATTAATATCACTTCTCCTTTCCTCATACTACCTGAGGCACATTGGAGCTGGCTGTGACATTTCCCAGCTTTTTCCGCAACTCCTCCAGTTCTTGCATGGACATTTTGCTGCTGGTTGCAGGAACGTTGTATGACGTGGTCGTGCTGGATGCTGCATTTGCAGACATTTCTGATCTCTCCTTTGCATTCTGCTGCAAGAACTTCAAAGTCTGAAGAGCACAAGCATGTTTATGTTGGTCATAAATCCCTAATATCAAAAGAAATAATGAAGACACTGACAAATGCATGAGTTTAGGGATGAAATTATGTGAACGTCTTGTTTGGAAATGAATAATGAGTTTCATTAAACCTACCTCTTTATCCTCAGTGAGTTTGGAGAGCAGATACACCAGTGGATCAAGGTTGCGTACGTTCTTTGACTTCAATTCGTCATATTTCCTTAAGAAGTCTTCTGGTATTTTGGAGTGTTCTGCCATTTTGACCTGGAAGACATGGTAAATGAGTCTCCTGCATTTAGAAGACATGTAATGGGAGATAAAACACATCATGTCTGTTCACCTTAGCACTGTGTGCAGATACTGTAGTGGTCACATAAGGAGTCCTGTTCTTCTGCAGCAAATCAATGTAAACCTCAGCACCATCTCCTCCTCGGACATTAAGAAGCCCGAGAAGTTCATTAACATCATGATGAATCCTGAATTCACTCATGACTTCAGATGAAATCCGAAGCTGAAATCAGAAAGCTCCACGAATGAATAAATACATAACGGCACTAGATCTAGATCACTAAATGATGAACGCCAAAACCACGAATATTTAGTACGCCAATAAAAAAAATACGAGGACTTGTTATTATTTATGCACAGCTAACGTTAGCCAGCGGCCCATTTGCATTTATAGATATTGCATGACAAAATAAAACGTATTGTTTACCTAGAATTATAGACTTTGTTATTTTACCTCGTAGAAGTTTAATTAGTCCGTCTGAATAACACGAACAGCATCTGTTGATAAAACACTAGGGCAACTGACAACGCCACAACAACAGGAAGTCAGAAACTGTACATTTGTAAATGTCCGCCAAAAGGCGGGCGTATTTTTCCAAAATAAAGGTCCTTTCCTCTTAACCGTTCTACTATTATAAATGAGCATCACATTCTTCTTTCATATATATATATATAAAAATGCATACATTTTGAAAAGCCGAAAATAATACCAGTACAACACGTATTTAATTTTTTTTTACTAAGTGATTATTTGTTAATTTTTTTATATAGATTTGTTTAATAACAATGATACTCCTACTACTAGGCTACTACTACTAATAGTAAAAATAAAATAATAATAATAATAATTATTATTATTATTATTATTATTATATAAAATAATTAGTTATCAGAGATAGTCACACACACTTCCAGGGGCCAGTTGCATAAACTTAACCCCTAAACTAAGATTGTGTCTTAACAACTAGTCTAACCAATTAGCAGTTACCAAGGGGAAATTAGTCATATTTTTCAGATTTAAATTAGACCAATCTATGTTTTAACACAACTGACTTTATGACCAGTCTTAAAGAAAAAAAATTAGAAGAACTTGTGAGACTAGTCTAAACATTTTATGCAACTGGCCACAGTACTCCGAGATATAGTACAGCTAGACACAGAATTACACATGAATATATTTACAGAATAATACTAGTATATGCGGTTTTTAAATACAGCATAAATAAATACACTATATTATATACCACACATATATATATATATATAGTTACATCATGTCTGTACAGGTATTTTATTAAGTTTTAGTTTTATTTCATTTGAGTTATTTTAATACTTCAACAAACGAAATGGAAATGAAATAATATATATATTGAATTTATAAATGTGTATGTACATATACAGTATGTATGTATGTGTGTGTGGTTGTACATACACTTACGTAGTTGTTTTTTTGGTGTTTGGCTTAGTGTTATGTTAGAATCATTATTATACTCTTATACCTTTTGTTCTTTAATATTTCGAATTGCTTTATTTTTTGTTTTTCACTTAAATGTTAAGTTTTGAAATGTTGTTGTATGCATTTGTCATTTTTATTTAATCTCTTTATTTTTAAAAATTGTATAGGTAGTATTTATAAAGTTTTGGCTTTTAGTTTTGGATCTGTTTTTAGTTGTTTTAATGCTACAATTGATTGCTTCTGTTGTCCTCATTTGTAAGTGGCTTTGGATAAAAGCGTCTAATAAACGACTAAATATATAAATAAATAAATATACATATATGACAGTATCTCCAGTTTCCACTATAAATTGACATCAGGGATGTTGCACACCCTATCTAGTTGCGGTTTTGTTTATGCATGAGCAAACAAATAGTTACTGTTATTTCTAAGAGACTTCTTCTGTCAGAATAGGCATATATGAAAGAACAAATTTTGACAGTTGTGTTGTGTTAAGGTTTAGTATGCCTTTTGGAGTGGCAAAATTAATTAATTAAACAAAATAAATCAAAATACAACAATGAAGGCATTAGAAATCCTGCCAATGTCCAATTTGAACTTCCTATTTTTACCACAGTTGCCTCGGAGCCTCCAGACGGTCAACTCCATCAATCACAGTATCGATTCTGGAGTCAGTCACACATCTGGACAGTTTGAGTTTGCTATGAAAAGAACCCTGTGGTGATTATCAGAGATGTAGGCGAAGATGGCACACGACCTTTAGGCATCTTGTCTATTATCTCTATGAAATGACAAATTGATACCCATCAAAAACAGATCCAGAAGATTTTGTCACTCTGGCCTTCCGACCAATCCCACTTCTCAGTTTGCACTCTGGTGAAGAGAACGCAGATGTTTCAAGGAGGAAGATTACTCATGTCAGTGATTCTCTTCTAACCCCCAGCGTCTGCAGTAGCTCAGCAGAGCACAGCTTGCCAGGGTGATAAACACAATAAATGACTCGCCACTAAAGGTATTACCTTGTGAAAAACCAAGCGCCATCTCACCAATCGAATCCAAATATCTTGTGGCGCTTTCAAATGGAACCTCTGAAGAATAATGTGTGAAAGAAGCAGGTGGTGAATGAAAAATAGAGCGAGTGGCGTTCTCAAGCCACAAATAGTCTTGAAACTGTCAGTGGATGGTGAAAGAACTAAAGTGCTGGCTTCTGCTGGTTTATGGTTTGAGAGGTCACAAGTCTGGGCAATGAGACCATCTGCAGAGATGAAACTTGATCACTCAAGACTTCTAAAACAGGAAATCACAGCAGAAACAACTGATACCATTTAATTTCACATGACCCTCTTGACTGCTGTAGATTGCGCTGCTCTCTGCTGCATGGTTTAACAGAATGATACTCCCACACCGCTTGACATATAATTAGGTTTTTGACATTGTGGAGCATAAAGATGCATGACAAATTTGCCTTAGTTTTGAGGGACAGTTTTGCATGCATGTTCAACCTCAGTCAGTTAGGCTTTTTATGTCATGATTCATGTTCTTTCTTTTTTTATACATCTTTCGCTCCCATTCAAAATGTCTTGTTCTAACAGTTTTTTTGTTGTTGCAATTTTGCAACACATTTTGCATTATTTGCCACTGTAATGTTGTAATGTTATTACAATGATCTTGTGTTTTGAAGCATTGTTTACGTGGAAAGGAAATATTTACAATGTACTGAAAGAATGAGACCAGGTTTTGAACGAGTGATCCGTTTTAGATTGCGCTGCTCTCTGCTGCATGGTTTAACAGAATGATACTCCCACACCGCTTGACATATAATTAGGTTTTTGACATTGTGGAGCATAAAGATGCATGACAAATTTGCCTTAGTTTTGAGGGACAGTGTTGCATGCATGTTCAACCTCAGTCAGTTAGGCTTTTTATGTCATGATTCATGTTCTTTCTTTTTTTATACATCTTTCGCTCCCATTCAAAATGTCTTGTTCTAACAGTTTTTTTGTTGTTACCATTTTGCAACACATTTTGCATTATTTGCCACTGTAATGTTATTACAATGATCTTGTGTTTTGAAGCATTGTTTACGTGGAAAGGAAATATTTACAATGTACTGAAAGAATGAGACCAGGTTTTGAACGAGTGATCCGTTGGGATTTTAGCTATACTAAACATTTTGAAAATGTACACTTTGCATGGATTAAACAATGCTAAAATAACGAAGGAGTGGCTTCACAACAACTCTGTGACTGTTCTTGAATGGCCCAGCCAGAGCCCTGACTTAAACCCAATTGAGCATCTCTGGAGAGACCTAAAAATGGCTGTCCACCAACGTTTACCATCCAACCTGACAGAACTGGAGAGGATCTGCAAGGAGGAATGGCAGAGGATCCCCAAATCCAGGTGTGAAAAACTTGTTGCATCTTTCCCAAAAAGACTCATGGCTGTATTAGATCAAAAGGGTGCTTCTACTAAATACTGAGCAAAGGGTACTTTGCTCAGTATACTTATACAGTATACAGTATACAGTATACTTAGGACCATGTGATATTTCAGTTTTTCTTTTTTAATAAATCTGCAAAAATGTCAACAATTCTGTGTTTTTCTGTCAATATGGGGTGCTGTGTGTACATTAATGAGGGAAAAAAAATAACTGAAATGATTTTAGCAAATGGCTGCAATATCACAAAGAGTGAAAAATTTAAGGGGGTCTGAATACTTTCCGTACCCACTGTATATTGAAGAACGTTGGAAACCAAACATTTGACGCCATTGACTAAAAAACATAATATAATATGTAATATATATATTAGGAATGGGATTTGCTTTGTCAAACTCTGTGTCATTTTGGACAGAGTTTCCTGTTTGTGTTTGCTAAGATTTAAGAGCTAAGATTTAAAATACAACATTTGATTCTGTTCTTGTCTGAAACTGTAATGATGATTTTAAAAACACCCAAATATGGTGAAAAAAATCAGTTCATTAGATGCATTTTAGTTGTTAAAAGTGTTAACAACACTTCATATGCAGATATGCAACAGAACTAACAATAACAGATGTATGTGTTATTTCAGAAACTCTTTGTGAGTCACTGCACTATATTATGACCAAAGTTACAACACTGTGTTCTAGCACTGGCGATACAGACTGTGTCATTTTCCTCACAAGATTCAATTTTAGATCAATTTCTACAACAGAAATTGATATGAGCCAAGATATCAGACATGCAATTTGCCCGTGAAATTGTTTGTAGGTCAGGTAAATCACATTTCTTACACTGACATTTAAAATCAAATGGTCAATATCTTGCAATAAACTGTGAATAGAGAGTTTCCTATTATAAAGTTTCTAGAAATCTAGTGCAGATAAATTGCTTTGTGATGGTTTTTCTAATTATAGAATTCAAGTGTTTTAGTCTAGAAAATTAATCTTTCAGCAAGACGTAACTTTCCATTTTATCAGTAGTTATCTTTGTGTGTGTGTGTGTGTTTAAGTAATAAAGTTAAATTTGTCAACATTAGTTAACACATTAAGCATCATGAACTAACAATAAATAACAATTTTACAGAACTTTTAATTTACATTTTTTGGTCAACGCAATGCGTAAAAAGACAGTATAAGTCATTATAATCAGTAATTATGTCCCCACTGGATACAACAAATGCCTCGTTTATAATGGGTTTTAATGTTTTTGTCTCGTTGCTCCGGCCGGACAGGGCATCACAGTATAGTAAGGGGCGTAACATTTCCGTCACACGCTTGAGGTATTCAGCCAATCACAACGCACTGGAAAGCTGGCCAATCACAGCAACCCTCGCTTTTCAGACCGATGAGCTTTGTAACAATCGACGCATTTCAGAAAGACGGGGCATAGAGGAGAAACAATAATGTACAGTATGTGGAAAATAATGTGTTTTTTGAACCTTAAACCGCATAAACACATTTCATTACACCAAATACACAACATAATGTTCTTTTTAGCAGCATCATATGACCCCTTTAAATTGTTGTTCATTGTTTTTTATGGTACCTAATTCATTAATACAGGTGTTTTGCCTGTGTTTTGAAAATGGAAAAAATGTCTTTGCAGAAAACTACCTG